GTACTGTTCCTTTCGGACTGTGACTCTGTAAAGCTAAGAGCTAAATGAACAGCCATTCTTTATGAATGTAACCTGTGTCAGGATTCTATCAGTGTCAGTGAAAGCAAGGATTAGTCTGAGAATTTCGCCCTGTGACCATGAGTGAACTGTGTGTATCTGTGTGGTATGTGTAGATGTGTGTATGAGAGAAGACATGACCTGAGGTGGCACTAAGTGAGCTCCATAGAGGAAAGTCAAGACCAGAATGGACACCATCATACACATGCATCTGTGAGGAAGAACAGCATGTGGGTGGCCTGGGAAAAGGGAAAGTTCCTCTCTGCTATCCCAGAACTGTACCTTCTGACCAAGGAGGCTTTGTTTCTTCTAAAATGAGCAGACATGGTCTGACCCCAAATGGGATCACAGAATACTTAATAATAATAGTTAAATGTGTCTGAATGCACAACAACCAAAAATTCATTCGAAATCAAAATATAATGATGCTGAGGTAATTCTAGAAGCCTTGCTCACATTGCCTTGCAAGACTTCTTATCAGTCTTGGTTCTGAACACTGATGTGTACTTTTTCCTGCATATGCACCAACATACAGTTGCAGGAAACATTGCCTGAGCATGATAACTCAGGTTTGAAATGATTTTATGTTATAGACTATACTGTTTCACTATGTATACAGTGTTTTATACATAATTTTCCTACTCGCCTTCCTCAATATGTATCAAGCCATTCTATCTTTGTATTCATTGTACTAGCATGTTTGATTATAAAAGTGATTGTTTGAGGAGCTATGCAGATCTGAGTGGCCTGGCCATTGTGATATCCAGGCCTGGGTGCTTGCCAAGGACCATGTCTGAATTCTTGTTTCACAGCCTGGGTCTATGTTGATGTCCATGGTCTGTGTTGTCACCAAAGGCCGCACGAATGCCCAGGGTCTGGCTCTAAACCTGTGGCCTTGTTGGTGTCTAAGAGCAATGCTGTCATTGGGGCTATACTGATCTGGATGTCCTGAGATGCCACAGGGACCTCGATGACTTCTGAACCAAACTGCTGCCAAGGGCTTTGTCTGTGTCCATGGTCCTGCTGCAGCTGGAGTCTCTGTTGATGACTGTAGCCTGTGTTACCACACAGGGTTCAAGAAACCTGCATGAAGGAATGTGTGGGCCAAGCTGAACTGGCTCTGCCTTTCGCTGGTCCTAGGAAAGCTGGCCCTGCCCATTGCCTGACAGTGCAGCAAGAGAGCTGGCCCTGATCTCACGGGAGAGCTGGCCTCAGTGTCCTGGGCATGGGAGGCCTGACCCTCTGCACTGAGGAGAGCTGGCCCTGACCTCACGGGAGAGCTGGCCTCAGTGTCCTGGGCATGGGAGGCCTGACCATCTGCACTGAGGAGAGATGGCCCCACCACTCACTAGGAACTTGGTAGAGCTGACCCTCATGGCCTGAGTGTAGGAGAGCTCTCTCTACCCTTCACCTAAGGGGGGAGGATAGCTCCAGCTACCCAGGCTGACATCTCAACTACCACTCAAGTCCTTATCTAGGGCCTTGGGTTTGCCCAGCCCAATATCTTCCCCATCTATGACCTACTGGAGCATGTGGAGGTCCTGCAGAATGATACCCTTTTGATCTCCATGGGTTGGAGCAACCACAGGATATCCAAGAGGAGTTTTGGAGAGGGTCCAATGATGATGGTGTACTAGAAAACAGAGGCCTTGAACCAGAGCAATATCTCATTGGAATAAAGATTTGCAAGCAAAGCAGAGAGGACAAAAGGCTATACTATTTGATACAACATGGTTCCCAATGCCACTAAGAAGAATGAAGAAGTGTTGGGGAGGTGGGAAAGATGGAGGAGCAAAATGATATTTTGTTTGTTTGTTTGTTTGGGTGGAGGATACTGCAAGGGTGAAAGGGAAATGAGTGGAATTGGGGTGTATGATGTAAAAACCCCAAAGAATCAATAAAGAAGTTATGTTAATAAAACAGAAACAAAAGAATGATTGAATTGCTGACTTCAGTTTCTTAAAAATCCATAAAATGAATTTTGACCTTTTATTAGGGAAGACTTTCTGGCAAATTTTGAAATGGCTCTGATGCACACTTTTGCCATTTTGTACCAAGCATTCGTGTGAAGTGGTATTTTCTGCATCGACATTTATAAATTGCCAGTCAGCTCTGAAAAATGCATAAGTTGCCCCACATCTGACTGCACAAATGCTCATACAGCATTTCATCTCTTATATAAAACAAAACGAGCACATCCATCTCTACATGGAAATGCACTTTAATGTTTAGTAAAGTGGTAAATGTGTATATAAATATCAAAGGTGTTTTAAATTTTTGATTTTTGTATCTGTTTTATATATCTGTACCCTCAAACTCACAAAAAAATTTCTTGGACAAAATGGAGTTATAGGTAAAAGTTTAAGAAGTCCCTTTACATATAATATAGTATATGAAGGATTTTACATTTAGTAATTCCCAATAATCCCTGGTTTAGGAAGTGACTGTGACACTGCCAGGTAGCCATTTGCCTGGAAGGCATTGTTTTAAAGACTTAGGGGAACTTGTGAAGCTTGACATGTTTCATTGTGTGATTGTTTCAAAGTCATGTGAGCATACACACACATATACACACATACACACACACACACACACACACAAACACACACACAAGCATTTAGGTAAGTCCTCTGCCAAGATTTGTGAACAATACCATTTTGTTCGAGACACAGTATCAAAGCAGCATACATAGTTATGTAGCTACGTTATACCAGCTGTGCTTCTTGCTTTCTCATGTGGTTTAAGGTATAGAATGAACATGGACTAATAAATAGCAGATAGCTTCCATGTAGTTTTTTTTAAATGAAGAGATAATGAGAACTAGAAGACTATATCTAAGTTTATCCACTCACAATCTTTACCTTATATTATTTTGGTCTCTCAGGCCAGTAAAATGGATACTATCTTTTTAAAAGACCATTTTATAATATGGCTTCAAGAGACATCATGATGATAGTTGTGAGACTGATTCTTTACATAATTGAAAGAAATGATTTTTGAGATTTATTTTTAAGTATGTGTAAGTGTATGTATAAGCATGCCTGTGTGTGCATGCATGCATGCACATGTAAATGCAAAGTCCTACAGAGGCTAAAGTGTAAGATCCCCTGGAGCTGGAGTTACAAGCAGTTATGAGCTGCCTTGTGTGGGTCCTAGAAATAGAACTTAGGTCCTCTACCAGAGCAATTCCCATTCTTAACCACTGAGTCATCTCTCTAGCCCCAGATCATTGATTTTTCATTCCTCTAAATATTTTTACAAGTTCCTCATAAGCTGAGGAACTATGAAAGCCACATTCAACCTGAAATTCTGCAGAGTTTAGCTTCTATATGAGCCTAAGATAGTTGAGAGAATTCATGTCTCTTTTCCGATCCTTCTGACACTTCACATCCCAAAGAAAAATGTCTCAGATTCTCTGTGTCAGCCTCTGTTGGTGGTTGTTTTCACTTTTTGCTCTTTTGACCTTTTGGAAACCCATCACCCAGCTCCCAAATAAATCACACACAGAGACTTATTCTTATTTATTAATGCCTAGCCTTAGATTGGTTTGTTGCTTCCCAGCTTTTTTTTACTTAAACGATCTTGACTACCTTTTGCCTCTGGACTTTTTCCTTTTCTTACTTCTGTACATCTTACTTTTCACTATGGCTGACTGGGTAGCTGGCCCCTGACATCCTCCTTCTATTCCTCATTTCACCTTCTATTTATACATTTATATTTTCTGACTGTCAACTGCGCCTATCCTTGCACTTGCCTCACTATTGGCAAAATTCGGTACTTTATTAGACCATCAGGTGTTTTAGACAGGCAAAGAATTGCAGCTTCACAGAGTTAAACAAAGGCAGCGTAAACAAAAGCAACACATCTTTACACCATTAAACAAATGTTCCACAGCATTAATAAAGCTGAAAGTGCTTCTTTTTGAGGTTAGATAGTTGAATATGTCAACTGAAAACCTTCATGTTTGCATAGCCGGTTAATTAACATGGAGCAGTTCACTAGCATGGATGCTGCCTGCGCATTCTCTGGGACCTCTTTACTTGATCTTATCCATCCATTCTAACAAAATACAGTAATATAGATAGATAGATAGATAGATAGATAGATAGATAGATAGATAGATATCGATATAGATATAGATATATATAGATATATATATATATATATTTGACTCTGGAGTGCTTGTGGAAGATGTAGTCTGGGCTCACTGGCACATCTTTGTGAGGTGTAAAATTATGTCTTGATACAAATAAAACTGATACCAATGATCTGTAAGAAGAAATAAGTGTGCATTCATGGAATTTCTAAGCCTGTCACTTGTGTTAAAAATGAAGATGATTCTCTCCGAGCATGAGGAAACAGAATGACAAATCTGTAGCTTACAATTATAAGGAGTAGAAGGAGACAAAAGCAAAATATGGCTGGAGCTATTTTTCTATTAAAAAATCATGTTCAGCAAAAGCATGAAAACCTTTCATTTTTGTTCCATGTTTTAATAGCTTAATTATACTTTTCTCCAAGTACAGCAAAAGCAATACACAGTCCCTGCAATAGTAGGATTTTTTTAAAGACATTTGACATCAAATTACTTCCAAATTTAACTTGTTTGAGATCTGAATGAAAACTATTAAGTTAAAGCAAAATTATGGCTTTCTAGAAAGTAATATAAATAGACAAATTAGTGAAAAATACTATTTTATGCTTTAATAATATCTTTCAGATCACTAATAGTCAATAGCATTATGTGGGGAATTTAGGCATGATCTGGATTTTATTACGCATATCTACACTTTAAAATGCCTCATAAATTGCCAAGTTTTAATTCAAACAGATGCTAAGAAATTAAAATATAGAGAATTTTACTGTATTGTGACCATCATTATCTTAAGGAAACCCTTGAAGAGATTTAGGGAAAAAAAAAGACACTTGCTTTGTTTTTCCAGAGAGCACAGTCAGATGAACTGGAAAAAATTGAAAAGCACAGTCGATCATCCAAGGACAAGGAAAATGCCAAGTCTCTGGACAAGCCTGAACAGTAAGTTCTCCAGGGACCTGGGAGGGCAATGCTCGGCTGCTCAGCAATGGGAGGTGGTGGTTCCTGAGAGCATGTCTGTTGTAAAGGAAGCACCACTGCTAGGGTGCCTGAAGGTTTTCTTCCCTCTTTGCCTTTATCTTCCCAGGTTCCTGTACGAGCTGTCTCTCATCCCCAACTTCTCAGAGCGAGTCTTCTGCATCCTGTTCCAGTCAACGTTTTCAGAGAGCATTTCTTCAATTCGTCGTAAACTGGAATTGCTCCAGAAATTGTGTGAGGTGGGTTCTGGACCAGAGAACTGAACACAAATTCTGATATTTAATTGTGTTCAGTCATGTTCTTATTTATTTTTGTGATTCTAGTTTACTTGAAGTATTTGTAAGTGCGAGGGATAACAATCCTACATAGAGAATATTTGGGGACTAGGTTTCTGTAATAAAGTATGTGTTTAGACATATTCACAGGGCAGTGGGACCACACTGAGATCCTGGCCATTTTAGTCCCATTTTCCATATTCTCTTAGTTATCACACTTTCAAATGGAAGAGGTTTAAAGGCATGCTCTTTATTTCTTTTTGGGTTGTTTTTTTTTGAAATGACTGCTCAGTAAAGTGTTAATATTTATTGTATCCAAATGATTTTTTTTTTTGGAATAGTCATTTGACTCTCTGGAAGAGAAATACTCTTCTGAATGCAACAAATAAATTTTGGACTGGGAGGGGGCAAAATTAGCCTTCAAAGCTGTTTATCGAAAATCAGTAAAAGTGCTTGTTATTATTGGGGTAAATCATCTCCCAGATCAGAACAATATTGCCAGGAACACCTTTAGAAAAAGTGGCACAAAACCCTGAAGACAGATAGGTTCTGCGAGTGGAGAGTGTGAACCTATGGGTAACAAACCTAACTCTGGAATTCGATTTTTATAACTGCTTTTGGGATTCTACACTTTATGCCAGAAATCCATGTTGTACCAGACATTGAGACAGTTAAGGACGATAGAGGTGATGTTGTTTTCTAGAAATTCTCATTGTATGTGGGCTCGAATGGCATCTCTTGGCTTCTACACTCATGCTTGTTGGTGGCACACGATTGTAAAGCTAACTTTGAGACACTGTTTCTATGGTATAGAAAATAATCTGGAAGGGAATGGTTTGACTGTCATGCAAAACTATGAGTAGAATATAATTAGCTTGATATTGATCTTATATGATTCAAATAAAATGACATGTAAGAGAAAAATCTTTGCCGTCCTGTCTTACAGACATTAAAAAATGGACCAGGGGTCATGCAAGTCCTGGGTTTGGTTTTAGCCTTTGGGAACTACATGAATGCTGGGAACAAGACTCGAGGACAGGCAGATGGCTTCGGACTAGACATTCTGCCAAAACTAAAGGATGTCAAAAGCAGCGTAAGTATTTTGTGTTAATGGTTACTCCAAATTGAGGACTTTATATTTTTAAATAGGTTTGGGTTTAAACAAGATATAAGTATCCCTTTCTGTTCTGAGGTCAAAAGTTTTATACACACGTGCATGCACACATGCACACAACACATGAACATATATTTATACAACTTTTGAAGTAGTATCTTATATAGTCCAGAATGACCTCAGACTCGCTAAATTAGTAAGGATGACCTTGAACTCTGCATCCTTAGGTGTGAACCTCTATTTCTGGCTAAAGTTCTGTTGTATTCTGCACTAGGTAAAAGTTGATCATCTGGGTATCTGTAGTTTAAAGGAAGAGATAATTGTCCTGCTGGAATTGCGAACCCTCTGTGTAATGAGTGTATGTATATATGTATATATATATATATATATATATATATATATACACTTTACTAAAACTAAGTATTTCTTCTTTTATCAAGCCTGCTAAGTTTGTTTTGGGGTGTTTGATTTGAAGCTGAGGACTAATCATTTTCAGTGAATTTGAGACTCTCCTGTTGTCTTTTCTTGTCTAGAAAATAAAGCAATCATGAATGAAAGTAGTTCATAACTGAAGTAGAAAAGATGATCCCACTTTTCTGTACACCATTCCTTCTACAGGCATGTTTGGCAATGTCTAAGTCTGATTGTAGTGCTAGGTTTTTTGTTTTTGTGGTTTTGTTGTTGTTGTTGTCGTCTGTTTTTTGGTTTCCTTTCTATTGCTGTTATTGTGTTTTATTTTGTCTTGCTTTTTTTTTTGCTATAGGGTTTCTCTGTGCAGTCCTGGCTGTCCTGGAACTAGCTCTGTAGTTCAGGCTAGCCTCAAGAGTTCTACCTGCTTCTCCCTTCCAAATGCTGGGATTAAACACACGCATTACTACCACCTGGCTCACCTAGTTATTTTTAACCCTACTTCCCTGAGGTGGTTTTGCTGCTGTTGTTGAGAATGAATACTGAGGAGACTGTTGGGGTGGAAATGGAAGGGTAAGGTCAGGCACAGCAATCACAGATAAACATCTGAGATGGTCAACCTAGAAAGTAAGAATTGTTCTTCCCTTCCCGAGAATTGCTGTGCAGAAAGAATACCAGGGTGGGAGAAAATATGAGAGGACTTTTAAGTACTGAGTTTGAATAAGTGGTTGTAGAAGTGAAACTGCCATCTGGAGAGAATGCATTCATCATCCTCAGGAGAGAGAAGCAGCATTCAGCCATTGCCCTCCTGAGTTATAGCATGCAATCTTCATCTTTATGAGAGAGATGCAACATGCAGTCATTGTCTTCACGGGAGAGATGTAACATGAAGCCATTGTACTGATAAGCAAGGTGCAGCATGCACTTATCATCCTTGTGAGAGAGATTCACCATACAGTCATCCTCCTGAGAGAGATGCAGCATGCAGTCATTGTCCTCATGAGAGTTGCTTCTTTGGCTGTCTAATCAGTCAGAACTCTTGACTATTTATTGTTTCTCTACATTTGCAGAAATCATTCAGCATCATTTTTCTCTGGGACTGCTAAGCCAGACACATTATTTCTGAAATTGAATAAAAGTCTTTTTGTTAGTCCAGTTGGGGTTATTTGTTTGTTGTTTGTTTGGTTTTTGAGACAAGGTCTCAGTAGCATAGACTGACCTCAAACTCCAGGTATTCCTGACTCAGTTTCCCTAGTGCTGGGATTACAGTCTCAGCCAGCTTTCTCTTGTACACGCACATCAGTTAATTTTTATGACTTTCATATGTGGCCAAATAAACATGTGTACTCAAGTGCTATTGTATTTATATTATAAACATTTAATAGAAGCAAACTTCTGATTTATAGACAAAATAAATCATTTTGCTAAAAAAGAGATCTATTTTCCAAATGGATGTTTGTTGAGACAACTTTTGCAAATAACATTTGAGAATAAAAAGGGCAATATAATGTTAAGCTTATAAACATTGATCTAAAATATATTCTGATAAACCAAAATTGTTTAAAATTACTTATGAAGATGGATTTGTTTTCTATATTGCTTCCTATCTATTCCTCTTTCTATTAAATTGTATTTTTTTAGTTTAAATATCACAAAATAAGTTAAAAATACTGAGACAAGAAGCAAAATATTTAATAATTAGACTTCCATTGTTCTCTCATAATATCTATGCAAGATGTTTTGAATTGGAATTTTCTCTAGGATACTAATGTAAATGTATTGACTACTCACTAATATTTGTAAAATAGATACTACAGTTTCAGATCAACCAGAATGTCCTTTCATTGGCAAGCCTTTAAAAGATGTTTAATGACACAGGTACTACTGTTTCATAGAATGACAATGTAGGACTAAGAATAGACCTCAAGTTGTCTGAGCCAAAAGCAAATCCTACTGATGGGGAAATATTCAACAGCCATATTACAATACCCCATGAAACTGGATTACTGGGTGGTGTTATTCTTTTCATCAATACAGGAAAGCTCATGTCTAGATCTAGTAACAGAAGCCCCAAGGACAGTGAAGTTTAACAAGATTTATTTGCACAAGAGAAGATTCTAGGGAAAGATAATATTACAGACCAAAGATGGTTTTGAGTGCCTTTTCCCCATCCAAATGAACACAAGTTATATTTACAACCAGATTCAAAAAAAAAGAAAAGAAAGAAAAGAAAAGAAAAAGGAGAGAGCCCAAATCAAAACAGTTAACATTTGTCTTCAACAGACATAATTTGGAAGTTTTCACCCTTCTGTTGGTTTAAAAGTCTGTCTGTTGTGATTAGCCATGTCTCAGTGTCCCAGTGGCTTGGTTACCAGTGTGTACTTTTAGAGTAACATCAAGCTGGGTTGCAATTCACTGTGTAAGAAGGCCAATCTGGACCAACTTTATCACCAATGTGTAGAGACCAAATTAGGTCAAATCTATTGTAATTTAACAAAAGGAACATTTCAGAGAATTTATATTGTGCACTAGGTTTTCTCAAACTTAAGTTATCTGTTGATTTATTGAAGCAGGACAAAAATCTTAATTAAAAATTAATATTTCTAGATGTGTCAGGAAAGAAGCAAAATATTACTTGAAATAATTTTACATTTTCAAATGATATGTACATTTTCTTAATAGTAGCTTAAGTGTTAATTCTTCATTTTCAGGTGTTATATAATAAATTGTAATGTGCTTTGCATTTTAGGAAGTTTCCACTTACCTGAAATATTTTTTCATGTCACTGGATTAAGCGCTAAAGAATTTCTGTCAGATATGAAAATTATTTATTATGGCAACACCAGCTACATCCTTTATGTGGAATTACAAGCAATTATCTCATTATGATGATATTTGAAAACCTTATTGCTGGGTTGGAGAGATTATTCATCAACTAAAACCTCATGCTGTTCCTTAGAGGAGTCAAGTTCTGTTCCCAGCATTTACAGGGACACTCAAAACCACCTGTAACTCCTGTTGCTGGGAATCCAGTGCCCTATTCTAGTTTCCACAGGCACCAGACACACACGTGGTGCACACACATACGTGCAGGCAAAACGCATATGCAACATTTAAAACAACAAAAGTACTAATCAAATTAAAAATAAATGCATTAAATAAAGCATATAAACATTGAGTTAAATTTCTGGTGGAGGGAAAGAAAAACAGCAAACTATTTACATTTGAGCTCCTCTCTTAAACAGGGAAGCTTCCTCTTGGCACTTACAATAAACACAACAAATCTGCCATTTAGCCCTTTAGATACAATGATCAAGGTAGTGCAGAATATAAAACCACTCAGAATATTCCCAAGTTTATATGTGTACTCCCTGTAATTTACTTCACTCTGTAAACTTAATAATACATGATATTTGTTAAGGATGTGTTACTTACTTTGATCTTTCTGCCTAGGACAACAGCAGAAGCCTTTTGTCGTATATTGTCTCATATTATCTTCGAAATTTTGATGAGGTAAGACTGACTTTGCATACAGCTCTATTTTGACTTCCTTTTCCTTGCATGTGTGTGTGTGTGGTGCACGATATGAGTGTGCTTGTGCAAACTTGCAGATGCAGAGCGCAGCAAGTCTTGGGGCCCCTCCCTCTGTGTTCTCCATCTTGTTTCCTCGATGCTGTCCCTCACTGGCCAGGAAGCTTGTCATGTCAGCTAGGCCGATTAGCTGGCTAGTCCAAGGTCTCAGATCATCTTATTTCTGCCACCTCGCTGACAATGCTGAGGTTACAGGCTCATGCAGCCATGAATGACTCTTTCCATGGATGCCATGGATTTGATCTCAGGTCCTAGAGGATGGCAGAGTAAGCCCTCTGGCTCATTGAGCCATCTCAATGGCGCATGCCTGGTCTATGTAGGGTGATTCCGGTGTGTTTTTCCAGTTGTCTTGTTGGGATTGCTGCCATTCCTGTTGTCTCTTTCTCACACTGATTTGTTTTTAAATCGTGTTTGCTAATTAGGATGCTGGCAAGGAACAGTGTGTCTTCCCTCTGGCAGAGCCCCAGGAGCTGTTCCAGGCCTCGCAGATGAAATTTGAAGACTTCCAGAAAGATCTCAGAAAACTAAAGAAAGACCTGAAAGGTAACGTATGACCCTGAACATACATTCTTGTAAAATATATAATCATAATGATAAATGATAACTTTTAAGGATTTTGAAAATAAGCCAGGCAGAAACTGCACTTACCTTTTTTAAAATCTCTTTATGTACAGCAGAAGAAAAACATGCCCATAGTTTTGTTTTTCATCGCTTCAGAAAGTTGGGTATTGGAAATTCAGTTATCCAGTCATATCTGCCATTTGAGTAACGGTCCATTCCACTGGGAACAAGTTCACATTTTGTTTTCTATTTTGTAGCCAAGAGCCTTTGGATAGCCTCCATATCATGGTTGGACACAAATCCTGTCGTTGTTGAAAGATTAATAGTTCCGGCCTGTTCTCCTTTGATATACTTGCCCAAAATTCTGTGACTCGTGAACACTTGTGAAAACAAAGCGTGCTCTGTGCACACGAGGTTAAATGAAACATATGTTTACTGTTGTATGGTGAGCAACAAAGCCTAACATTCTGTAGTTTTGATTAGTGGTTATCGGAAATTCCTCAAATTTCTTTAATCAGTAACATTTACATGGAAGAAAATAGTCTTCCAAAATTTACTTCTTCCCTCCTTTTTGTGCCATTTATTGTTGTTATAGTGTTGGGAATCTATTTCAACCTCTTTTTGAGTTATATTAAGTTTAGACAAAGAGAAAATAAGATGGCATAGCATTTTCATTTGATATTGTGTTACTAAATGGTATAAAGGTTTAGTCACTTCTGCACAGAATTTTAAAAAAAATCTACTTTTAAGAGACCCAGTCTCAAAAATAGGAAATGAATTTATCTGAGGTGGTCCTGATCTGTCACCAGATTTATGGCTGCTATGTTCTGGACACAGATAAATTTAAATGGATTTCAACAAATATCACAATTTTTAAAGTTCTTATATATTCACATGGTACACATTAGGTGTTATTGAGATGCGGTTAGTTTCCCAAAACATAGTAACTGCTGTTAAAAGAGCTGCAGTTCTGTCCCTTATCTGAGTTCCATTCCAATTATATATGTAGGTGCCTATTGATTAAGGATAAGAATGGTAGCTTTGCCTTATCTGAGTTTAACAATTGTGTGAGAACTGTTTTGTTCTTGTGGGAAGTTATGACATCATATATTTAAGTTGTTGAGAGGGAGATATGATGAGGGGTTCGGGGAAGAGTTGCAAGTGGGGGATGGTGATGGTTGGATATATTCAAGACTTTGGATATATTTGGATGGTTGGATATATTCAAACTTTCCAATAAATACTTTTTAAAAAGATGACTGAAAACTAATTAAATCTTAAAGCATTACAAAACAATTCCTATTATAGAGTTTGTGACAATTCAAAAATTATGTCTTTGCTTAGTTAGACTTTACATACACAGTGATGTGGTGCCAGGGACATTTCTGGAGAGGGTGGAAAAATCTTCATATATTCATTAGCACTCCATTCTAGAAAATTAGGATTTCATCATTTACAGATGATTTATAAGGGGAACGATGTTATTAGTAAGTTTGAAGTTACACAAACAGCACATAGTCACTTGCATGTGAGCACTCAGATACACACATATACAAACATTCATATACACACACAAACATGTACATACATGCACACAGATGTACAGTTCTCACATGCACATACCGTCCATACACAGAAATGTTCACACATGTACTTACACACATAACTGAAAACATATGATACATAAACCTACAGATCCTCTTTAGAACCCATCGGTATTAAATGTATATGAAGCCATGAAAATTTGAGATTCTCAGAAGTCTCGGCGCCCAAGAGGACAAATGTTCTATAATGGACTTGAATGATGGATGAGTAGTCAGTGCCTCCGCTATATCTCTTAAGCAGTTGTTTTCTAGAGCAATGTTTTAGCTATAGAAAACTACATATTGGAGGATCATCTTAGCAATATGTAACAAGAGTTAGCAGCCATGAAGGCTTGTGGTTTACAAAGAGGAAAGATGAATGTGTTTAAAGACCGGTACCATTGGTCAGCAACTGTAACATTTTCCTAGCAACTCCCTTTTTTGTCTGTAGGCTGTATCAATTCAGTGTCATGGAAATGTAAAGTGTGAGCTTCCCAAGAACTCCTTAGTTCATGGCAGTCAGGATAGAAGATGGAAGATGATTCTGGGGACAAGGTACATACTCCAAAATATGTACCCAGTAACCTACTTCCTTCAAGGAGTTTCAACCTGTCAATAGCCCATTCAGCCATGGGCTCATCAGTACGTGAAAACATTGTTGAGGGCGATGCTCTCAAGATACTGCTGGCTGGAAACCAGGCCTCCCATACATGCATCTCTGGGGGTCCATGCTATATCCAAACCACAAAAGGGGGGTTCGTGAAAAAATAGATGTAGACACTCCAGCGTTGAGTTTAGTTGTGAGAGGAATGTGCACTGTTGTACAGCGGAGGGATGCACAGTAGTTCTCTGGTTTATTTACCATACAGCACCTATTGGTTCCCCACAGAATGTGTGGTGGGTTCTGTGGCTAGTGGAGCACATCTAGCACATTCTGAGAAATACAGGCTTGGTACTGGGTTAGGGGCCCAAGCATGACATGCCTCTGAGCTCACAAGGAAACAAGTTCATGAAACACTTCCACCGCTTGGTGTTGCTGCTGTTGTTTGGACAAATCAGCTTGGCTCGAAGTGGTGTCAAATTCTGAGAATTAAGAAACTATCTTTTACTTTTCAAAATCTGATTATTTTCGTAGTGGAGATGATTTGAACACAAGGAAGGAAATTTTATGAATCAAAATTTGTTTCCAACTTTTGAGAAATAAAGAACCATCAGAAATATAGTTTTTTTGTATCAGTGATGCATGAAGTTACTTCTTTTTATTAGGCATGGTTTGGGTATGTGTAGGCATATGTTCATGTAATTAAATTGAGGTCAAATTGGAGGTTATTTTATATGAAGTTATAGTACCTAAAAATAGTATCTACCTTGATCTATGTAGCCTTTAAAAACTATTGTTTTAATTTATTTTAGTTTTAGATGTATTTATTTTTTTATTTTATGTGGGTGGATGTTTTGCCTGAATGCTTGTCTATATACCACATAAATGCCCAGTGCCCATGGAGAGCAGAGGAGGGTATAAGATCCTCTGGAGCTGCAGTTATAAGGGGTGGTTAGTTACCATGTGGGTGCTGGGAATCAAGCCTGGGTCCTCTGGAAAAGCAATCCATGTACTTAACTGATGATTCATTGCCCCAACCATTGAAATGATTTGTTTTTCATAATCAAATTTGGGGAATGCTTTAAGAAGTTTCAAACAGCCTGTCTGCACATTTTTAGAGGCAGTTGTTTTAATCAGATATATAAAAATGGTTAAGCATACAAACAAGCCATTATAATACTCTGTGGTAAACATTCAGTAGCATTTGCTATTCATGAGATAAAATTGAATTAATAGTATGATTATTTGCTAATGACAAATGTGTCGTCTCCACAAAGTTGCTCATTTACCATCTGGCCCCCTTGTTTCTGCATACTGTCATCATTTTTATTTCTGAAAAAACTGAGGGACAATGTGTTAGGGCTTGGACGTTTTAGGGAAACACCCGATCCTCATCTTAGCACTCCTGTGAAATCATCCATTAAGTTGGGTCTTTCTTCTTACCTGAAGATTCCCATGTCTGCACCTTGGGATGAGAATCAGGCTTCCTAGCTCAGTGAAATGCCTTTTGTTCAGTAATCTTGATTTCTTCTGGATGTCTGTAGTTTATTTTTGATACAGTTGCTTTAAATGATGCCTTTTGACCCAGTGTCTTTGTCAGGTAGTGCAATCTATGGTGAAACTTTGTCAAAATCTCCTTAAATCTCTGAGCCAGCGACCTGGCTCACAGATAGATTCTGCTGGACATGAACAAACATTGTTGATATCACAACAGAGCAACAAAGTCCCATGAGTGCCTTTCAAAAAGATAGCAGCTAAACCAAATCTGGCATTTTCTTTCAAAGAACATTCTACTGACTGAGGAAGCTTACTGAACTGTTTGTTATATTACTGACTCATATGTCATTTATCAATCTTAAGAAAATCCAAGGCATAAGAAAAATAAAAACAAGCTCACTTATTTGAGCTTGTAAATTCAACTATATAAGCAACAATTAATTCTTTAGGGCGAGGAGGCAGAGGAGGGCAATAAGCAACAGAATTCACTGAGCCTAAGAAAATGGGTCATTAAGGAATACACTGGCCTCTTTCAAAATATTGGTTATGTTCTATTTCTTCAGTTGTAAGTTGAATATATGGATATTCATTTAATTATTCTTAATATTTATGTGCATGTTATATGTGTTCCTTTATGTGTATGACGGGGTTAATAATCTTATTTGAGAAGAAAGGAAACTGGGCAACCATCCAGGAATGTTTGATTTAGAGTTGAAACTGAGTAATCTGGGCTCCACTAATTTAAACTGTGTGATCGTTCAGTCTTTTCTGTTCTTTATGAAGAAATTATATAACTTGCCAAATTCAAAAGTAAACATAGCTAAGGAACATAAGAAATTTAATTAAAAGAATAAACTATATTAAAGAAGAAGAATATAATACTCTTCTTGGAGGTAAAAGATTAATATGAAAGAGAAGCACTTTTTTGGTTAAACAGTTCAAACATATATTATTTAGAAGGAAATAATAAAAATAAAATTAACTGCTAATGTCAGAAAGCTGTTGGCATTTTACAGAAACATAATCCATTATTTTGGTTATTGCTTTTACTATTTCAGAGTAAACTAAGGAAAACCAAAACCATACTACTTTAATAGAAGTAATTTAATATAGAGAAGTTAACACATATTGAAAGGTCAAAACAGTACCAAAATGACCAAGTAATATAGGAAGCTGCCATCATCCATGGAACTCAGGAAATAGGAGACGTTGAAGTTAGTGTAGAACAGACACCTTTAGAAGGAGTGCCCCATGGGGCTGGACCTAAGCCTCACAGAGAAATACTTCTGCTGCAAATGCTA